CTTTTTTTTTTTTTTTTTTTGGTACCAGGGATCAAACTTGGGTGCTTGTGCTTGGGAAGCAGGCAGGGGAACCACTGAGCTAAATCCCCAGCTCTGGCTATGCCTATTTTTAAATAATTGTTTGAAATATGAACACTGATAGTTTTTATATTTTATTCTATTCTCCTTTTATACCTTCCTTCAGCAAAGATTTGAATATGAGACTTTGAGTGATGTGGTTGAAGAGATGAGACAGTTTATATTTTCAAGCAACTCACCAGAAAGTGGAAATGAATAAAATACTCTTTATTTTTCATATAAAATTTATGTGTTTTTATTGTTCCATGCCTATTCATGTATATGTACATGCACGTGTACATCTATCAGGGCTAACGTAGTACATGTTAAATCACGAAATATTAAGTGATGGATGAATATGTAAGAAATAGTGTATATCTTGGAATGACTGTTAGAAATATCTCAAGACATGGTATCTACTATATGATTAGCATTGATCAGAGGAATTTGGGTGAAAAAGAATAATGACATGGGAGGTAAATATTTGTACGTTGGGTATGCTTTAGAAGAATAGATCTTAATTATTGTTACAATGTTGTTTTCCCCACTTTTCCCTATGGTGTTTTTACCCAAAGCTGTATGAATTACTACTGGAGTTTCATTTCTTTCCATTCCTCACTGGTCATGGTATCTTGTCAGAATGCGGGGATGGGTTACTGGCAAGCTGTGATTCACTGTCCATATTTTAAATGGTATTAGAAGAACTAGTTTTTATTGTAATGTGGTTATCTTTTTTCCAGTTCTAAGAAGTCTAAATTTTCCACCCAATTTGTAAAATAGAGCAGTATCACCAATCTTGACAATCAGAACATATGGCTTAGGAATTACTTGGATCAAATGATCTCCTGTGCCTTTTACTTGGAAATGTTACCAGATTCTTTAGAACACAAAGTAGTATTAATATAGCTAATGAAATTTATAACATATAATACTTTAAAAATATATCTCTAGCATTACACATTCTCATTTCTAACCCCAAACTATGATTAAAGATGAAATTTTGATGTTAATTTGCATTCCTGTTATGAGGATAAAATTTATTTTTTGTTTTACCTTGAATATTTTATGAGATATAATTTATATCGTAAAATTTACTGTTTGAAACTAGGTATGGTGATGCCTGCCTCTAATCTAGGTATGGTAATGACTTGGGAATCTAAGGCAGGAGGGTTGCATATTTGAGTCCCATCTGATCAACTTCATAAGACCCTGACTCACAATAGAAAATAAAATAAAGGGCTACAACGTAGCTCAGTGCAAAGGCCCTAAGTTCAATCTCCAGTATGAAAAAAGGAAAGGTCACTGTTTTAAGGTGAAAGTACATTGGTTTATTTATACTGTTGCAGCCAGCACCAGCATCTAATTCCAGTACGTTTTCATCTCTCTCAAAGAAACTTCATGCCTGTTATTCAGTACTATTGTCACCTCCCACCTCTAATCTCTGGCAGTAACTAAACTATATTCTGTTTCTATGAATCTGCCTATTTTGGAATTTTATAAAAATAAATTTTATTTTTTAAATTTGTTTAGACCCTGCCAGAAACATCTTTACCAAATTATGCCACAAATTTGAAAGACAAGAGCTCTTTAGTTTCATCTCTCTATAAAGTTATCCAGGAGCCTCAAAGTGAGGTAAGTACTCTTATAGTTTATTGTGCTACTGGTAGTACTATTCCACTGATTGATTTTTAATTTCTAATTGTGTATGTGTGCACATTATTGAGGATTGAATCCAGGGCCTGGAGTCTGTGAGGCAAAGTGCTCTACCACCAACCTATATCCACTAGGGCGTTATACATGCCAAGTGAGCGTTCTGCTACTGAGATATTTACTCAACTTCTCAAATTTTATTTTCGAGATAGAATCTCACTAAGTTGTCCAATGTGGCCTCTAACTTGTAATCCTCCTGCTTCAGTCTCTCAAGTAGCAGGGATTGCAGACATGCACTAGCTACCCTGGCATGGGCCTCAAATACTGTCATACATAGTTTAGACTTTTTTTTTGTATGTAGAGATGATTATTTTAATTATGGTTTTAGGAATGTAGCTACGTGGAAGATGGATTGGAGACTGGAAAAATTGAAAACGAGACTAAGAGACTGTCTATAACAATAACAACCTATGAGGGAACTGTTGAGAACCTGAAGTTGGGTAGGATCAGTGGGAATGGAGAGAGATAATATAGAGAGGAGAGAGCTGAAGTGTATAATTCCTTTTATACTTGAGTTTTATTTAGTATATCCATGCACACTTGGAATGAAACCACTCAAACCAAGATCTTTTGTTATTTGAGTAATCTCTTGGAGAGGGTATAGAATAGCCCTACTTCGACTTATTATACTATGAAGTATGTTATAAATTTTAGATGCTGGAGGGATTGGGGATTTTATTGACAAGCAAGCAAACTTTAACTGTAATAACTGCATTGAACCATCATATTTGCTTGTGCAGCACTCCCCAGCCCATAAATCTTCTTAATGTCCAAGTATCCTATGTTATTTTATTTAAAATGAAAAACAAGTTTTTAATATGCAGGAATAGCATACAACTTGCACTGCATGTGTGGCACCACATAAATTTGATAATCCCTAGCTCATGTATGTCTTGTTCTGTATGTCTACTGATGATCCACTTGGTGCAACTTTATCAAATTGCTTGATATGGAATCACACCTGATTTCTGTGTTTGTATTGGTGGAGACTGGTGCTCAGTCTTTGGGTCACACTTTGAGAAGAACTGGTTTGGAAGGTTTTGCGTATAAGTTTGTTTTATACTTTTATCCTGATTCATGCTATAAAGACTGTGTATTCTGTATTTTTAACAGATGACTTAATCTTTAAAAGATATTTACATGTGCTTCTAAAATACAAAATATAATTTACTTTAATGTTAATCTTTAGAATATTTTGTGTCTCAGGTTGGACATTTTCCTAAAGAATCTTTTGGTAGTTTTGAAACTTGAGACATTGTTTCTAGTGTTATTTGAAGCCTAGCAAATTTGGTATTTATAATAGTACTTATCCATTATTCAGTTGTATTCACTTAGTAAATATTTATTGAACACACCTAATGTATCAGAAACCTCTTAGGACTGTAGTAGAGAATAAAATATAAATAAACTCTTGATTGTATTGATTTTTTATTCTTGATTTTATTATATTTTACTATTAAGTTAGTGATAAAACAATGATGGATAAAGTGGAGTAGGGGAAGTGTGTATTGGGACTAAGAAGGTAAATTGAGATCTGAATGAACTAGAGAGAAGGAGAATGAAGGGCGGATGAGAGCTTCACAGCAGAACAGGTGCAGGTGCATGTGTGTTTAGGAAGCTTATAAAGAGGCAGCATATATGGATATTATGCAGTTTGCTCAGAGATGGTGTTTTTAGTTGGCTATAATTTTAAGATGGTATATAATTTAGAGTTTAATAATCTTTAAGTCTGTTATGAAAGTAGCTGAGTTTGGTTGTGTGTGTGTGTGTGTGTGTGTGTGTGTGTGTGTGTGTGTGTGTGTGTGTGTGTGTGTGGTTACTGGAGATTGAATCAATAGGCTTGTGCATTCTAGGCAAACTGCATTGAGCTGCATCCCAGCCCTTTTTATTTTGAGATAGGGTCTTGCTAACCAGCTGTTCTTGAAATTGTGATCTTTTTGCCTCAGCCTCCCAAGTAGCTGGGATCAAAGGTGTGTACCACTATACAGTCCTCAAATCAGCTGTTTTTGAAAGAGCCACATAGAATCTCTTTGTGGTTCTAGGAGTAGGGAACCAAGAGTGAGCAGAGGTCAAGCATCACTGAATGGTGGTCCCTGAGTAGTTTTCTCTAACCTTCCTGTATCTTCTTCTTACCCATGTTCATCAGTGACTATTCAATACAAAAAAGAAAAAAAACCATGATTCTTCCTTTGCTTACTTAAGATAATTTTTCCTGTTTAGTCATTAAAAAATGTTTTTGTGTCACATTTTCACTACTGGAAATCTCTCTCAGGATCCAGACTTCTTTCTTAAGAGTGAATTGTTATAAAATATCATTTGTAACTTAGTTGTTTTAGAATTCAGGATGTACTTTTAAATGGAAAGATGATAATTGGTGAGTAGGTTTTCATTAGCCTCATAAAAAAACCATTTAATGCACAAATGATGCCTCTTAGATGCATTTTTTTCTTAGTAGAATTGTAACAACCTAATCCCCATATATGAAGATTATGAGAAAATACTTTCAAAAATATAACTTAGATGGGAGATCAGAATGTTCTAATGCTCCATTGCTTGCTTCAAATATATTCAAGTTAGGTAAATCAAACTGTGCTTTTATTTCCCACATTGTATATTACTTCATTCTTTTCTGACATTTTTTTTAGGTATGTTTGTAAAGGAGCTAAAAGGTCTGACTCCTTTTTTCTTATGAATATTGGTTATGATGGGTAATGTTTTTGTCTTGACTTTCTTAAATGGAAAGTATGGCTAATCATAGTCTACTTATAATGTTGTAGGAATTGAACAGGCTTGTGTATATAAAGAGTTGACAGATGTTGCTATTTGTATTGGGTTTAAATGAATAATTTTAATCTCTTTGAAATAGAATTTTTTTAAAATTTAATTTTATTGGTACATTTTAGGTATACAATATAATGACATTCATCATTGGAAATTTGTACCTTTACATAATCTACCTTGGTTCTTATTTTTCCTCATTCCCTCGTCCTCCTTTCAATCCTTCCCTTTTTACAAATAGTTTGTTTCCATTTTTTTCATTTTCTCATATTCCATGCCCTTCTCTCCTTCTCCCAGTCCCTCCCACTTCCCCTTCCCCTTTGGACCTCTTCTTCCCATTTCACAATATCTGTTATGCCTTTTGATCCTTATTTACACTTTGCAGTGGAATTTCTATCTCCCTTTGAATCTGTCTTCATTTAGGTCTCCTTTCATTAAGCAAAAACCCTGTAATTTGGGATTTGAAACTGATTATGAAGCCTCTGAGTGTGTTTTGATTAAGATTGATTATCTGTTCATACAGATGTTCTTGAACAAATTTTCTGGGAAGGTTTTATAATTTGCAAATACTTGTAGATTTATCAAATTTTATAAATTGATTTAATCAAAGCCTGCCCAAGGATTTAGAGATGAAAGTTATTATACCACAAGATTACTGAGGCTTATCTCCAAAGAAATTTTTAAAATTCTACCCTGGAAGCTACATATTACCCTAATAATCTTTCTTTCTTCCTATCACCTCCTCTAACTTCTTTCTTCCAAATTCCTGTCCCAAAACCTTTTCATAACATCTGTGAATAGAGTTACTTTGCCTCCTGACTTCTGGTTTTCTGTTATCTTTACATGACCACAATGGATAGTTGTTATCTTCTAAAGACCATTTTGAGATTGCAAGAAATATTTTTTATGGAAGAGTAACTGTTGGAAGTTAGAAAATTTTTCAAAAGAGAGACTGGTTTGACTTACTCAATATTTATTTATATGTAACTTCTGTTAAATATTACATAAAGAATGACTTTATACTTAGTTTAATTACTTGTTTAAGTTACTTGATACCAAAATATCTACTATGAATTGGTTTCTGTTCATTGTGATTACTTATAATAGAATCTGTTTAATGAATCGACTTAAATCTATTGCCTGTTGGTGAAGAATAGTACATTGAATAAATATAATAGCCTGATAGTATCCTTGAAAACTTAGTACTTTGTGAACCTCTTGACATATTTGATTATGTTTTGTCTGTGATCATTATTATATCAAGGTAACACCTATGAAAGTTTTTAAAATCTTGCCTTTCTGATTTTTAAAAGGAATCTATAATAAAGATACAGTCAGCTCTAATAACGACAAAGTTGCAGCTGTGGTGGGAGAAGAAAAGATATAGATGATTCCAAATTATGTCTAAAAAATATAGTAAATGTTTACTCATGGACAGTTCACAATTTAAATAGGGATCTAGATGCAGGGCCCTGTGACTCTTCACCCAACTTGCATACTAGTCATTGCTGTCAAGAGCTGCCTAAGTGAAAGCTCAGGAAGGAGGTGTGGCAGTAACTGTCCAGGTTTCCCATTTCAGTTTCTTCTCTCCTGCAGCTAACCTTTTATATATTAGCAGATAATTTATCAGGAAGAAAGGACAGTGAGGAAAGAACAGCTATAACTTAGCTGTTGTAAGAATTTAAAGAAACATGATTTTAATATTAATACTACCTTAGAACTATATTTTAAAGTTTACATATGCTTTCATGTTTCCTTTATTGCACTGTTTGTCCTTCTACCAAAATTCAGGTTTATCAAATAGCTTATCAGTGCATAGTTTTGCTTCAAAAAGAAAACATATTTCAGTAGTTAGCAATTCTAAATAAACATTTTTTTTGGTACTGGGGATCCAGGGAAACCCTTTTATATTTCATATAGCATTGTCATTCAAATAAAGTCTGGTTTGTGAATTAACATTTTATCTTTCTCCCAGTTGCTAGAACCTGTCTGTCACCAGCTGTTTGAATTCTATCGTAGTGGAGAGGAACAGTTGCTTCGGTTTACTTTGCAGTTTCTTCCAGAACTGATTTGGTGCTACCTTGCAGTCTCAGCCAGCAGAAATGTGCACAGTAGTGGATGCATCGAAGCTCTTCTTCTAGGGGTTTACAATTTGGTTTGTATATTTTGTATTAAACAAAATGCTTTCTGGTATATAACTTCTACAAGTACTTTTCACTTTAGTAAAGCTAAAATTTGTTTTTTTTTAATATATTCTCCCCCAAAATAACTCTATATAGGGGAAGGAGCTATACAGGCACACATATAATTATGTAAATATACTTTATTGGATTGACATCAATTAAATAATCAAACCATTTCTTTTACAGCTATATCTGAAAAATACCAGTGTAGCATTAAAAAGTTTTAAAACTTAGTATACACCCCACAAAATCTTTAGGAGAAAAGATTTAGCCTAGTGTCCACCAGTCACAATTCTATAATACTTGGACTATCTCCAGAATTCACACCATTGATTGAGCATAGTTCGCATTACTAATAGTTTGTATCATGATGATGTTCTAGATACTTAAAGTTTGTATTTTTTAAGATGGAAAAGAATTAAGGTCCTTTTCTTGATATACTTAATTTTTAAATCATTAGTTGATTTAGAAAATATAACTTGTTATATGTAGATCAATGGCTCTTAAGACATTATATCTCAACCATCTTGAAAATTGTGTGTGACTTTTATTTTAGTGGGTTACTTTTACTTATTTTTCATTTCTCTTTTTGTAATACTGGAAATCAAACAAAGGGCCTCCTGCATTTAATGCAATCTTATTACTGCTGAGCTACAACCCCATCCCTACTTTAAGAATATACATTTTAACTACTAGTGTTAATGACTAATTGCTAATGTATTATCATTATTTAAGAATTTATCTTTAAATACCTTTCTACTTAGGTCTTCAAAAAAATAAGCCTAACAATTTAAATTTAGTTTTAAATTTTATGTATAAAGAAGTAAATATTTTAAGATATTTTCTTTTACTTTTTTAGGAAATAGTTGATAAACAGGGACATAGCAAAGTATTGAGTTTTACAATTCCATCTTTATCCAAGCCATCTGTATATCATGAAGTAAGTGACATTTTATCAAAGTAAATTATTGGGTGTGAAGCTTTGATATTATCATAAATTAGGGTGCTGTTACCTGGTCAAAAGAAGATAATAAACTTATTAGTACCTTAAAGAATATAAAGCACCATATGAAATATTTACTATTTCAAAAATGAAGTGAGAAACCAAAAACTACTATCTTTGATATAAAAATCTGATATTTAGAGATTATTGAAAGTACTCCTTTTGAAATACTTTTCTCTCTAATGGATAAGACTGGTAATAATGTTTTTTATTTGTGTGTGCAATTATGTGTTTTCATTATAGAGAACTTTAGAAACTATTTTTTATTTCTCATCTAGTCTTTATTTTTAATTAAATATTTGAATAGACATTTTGGTAGACCATCTGAATATTTTTACAATATTGATGTTCCTGACAGTCAAAGTCTTCATGCTACATATATTTTAAATATCACATTTTCAACCAAGTAGCTGTTTTTCCTTTATTTGAATGTCTTTTCTTTAGCCTTCCAGTATTGGGTCCATGGCTCTGACTGAGAGTGCACTATCCCAGCATGGGTTGTCAAAAGTTGTATACAGTGGACCTCATCCTCAAAGGGAGATGCTTACAGCCCAGAATAGGTATGCTGTGGTGTTATGACTTCTTATGACTGCCCTGATTCTAGTAGGCATATAAGTAATGTTTGAGTTATATGTAACAACCTCCTTTATTAAGTCATTTTACAAAAGAGAAACACATCTAGGTTTGTCATTGTACTTTGCTTCGTGTGTCACTTGGAACATTGAAATTTTAAGATGTTTCATATGGCTGTTACTTGAAAAGTCTTCCTAGTTCCTTTTAATTTCTGTTATTGTTATGCTTATATTGTAAAAGTCTGTTTTGTAACTAAAACTAACATTGCACTCTATTATGGTTGACTTCTTAGAATTGTAAAGATTGGTTAATATTCTTTTTTGTTTGTCTCTAGGTTTGAAGTGTTGACATTCCTTTTGTTGTGTTACAATGCTGCCTTAACCTATATGCCCAGTGTTTCTCTTCAATCACTGTGTCAAATTTGTTCAAGGTAAATTAAAATTCAAATGTTGTCAGTATTGAAATATTACATACCTAAGTTGTTTCATGTAGTAATTTGTTTAAAACATTAAATAAGGTAAAGTTCACCCTATTCAATACATCAAGAGTGTCCTATAAGTAATAGCCACAAAAAACATGATGAAGGATATAAAGCTGAATAACACTTGAATAGAATATTTAATCAGAAAAGGATTATAATATATTGTGTATCCAAAAGAATGGAATGGTCCCGACCTTTGAATTTTTGAAATGTAGTGTTTTTGTTGTTGTTATCTGTTTTTTATTTATTTTTACTGTGGTTTAATTTGGTGTCAAGAAATAAATAAGAAATCATGTTTTTAAGTTTTCCTTGCTTAAAAAGATTAAGCTACAATGTTAAGTAAGTTATATCATTGTTTGTTACACAAACATTCAAAAATTCCTTCTTTAAAAGAGTATTTAAATATTTAATAGTATATATGGTATGATAGTAACCATATAAACCATGTGATATATTATGACTCTTGCATTTGCTGAATATGACCAGAATATTAAGTGGTTATATGTAATTGGTAGAAGTAATGATTTATTTTAAATTTTCTCTTTTGTGGTTTTTCTTTGATTCTTTAATAGTCTGTGATAAACATATTGCCTTTTCAAAATAACAAAAAAAATTAGAGATAATTACCTTTGATAATTCAATAGGGAAACTTTGGAATTAAAGAAGTTATAGAATAATTTGTATATGAGGAACTTATTTAGAAAATAAAACTTAGCTTTTTGACAGCATTGTGATCTCAGGGCAATGTCGTGAGATAGTGAAGATGGAGACTTATATTTCAGTCTAGAGTTTGTAACTCATACAGCCTCACTTCTGTCACAATGAACTGATCAAAGATAAGAAGTAGAGATTCTCAACCATGAAGATGTCATGTTGGGAGAATTACTGGGCAAGGGAAATTTTGGTGAAGTAAAAAGGGTAAAGGATAAAAAGAATTTAAAGGATAAAACTACTGTAACTGTTAAAACATTAAAGAACATCTTCAGGAATCGAAAATAAAATTTTTATAAGAAGCCAAAATTCTCAAGCAATATGATTATCCTAATATTGTCAAACTTATAGAAGTTTGCACACAAATACAGCCTGTATATATCATTATGGAACTGGTTCCAGGGATTGAAATCAAGACCCTGCACTTGTGAGTCCGGTGTGGTACCACTGAGCTAAATCTTGGGCCCCAAATCTTTTTAATTTAATTACAAGAAAAACCGTTATAATGTTGGATCCTTTTATCTCTTAATATTGCTTGGGATAGTTTTATTCTCTCATAGTAGTTCATATACTTCTAATTTTTCCTTGTAATGGCTATAGAGCATTCTATTTTGTAGATTTACATAATTTATCCAATCAGACCTTTAGCTATGAATGCTTTGTTTTCTTTTTCATTTTGTAAACAATGCTAAATAAATAAATTCGGACTTATTAAAAAAAGAAAAAGAAAAGAAAAGATAACTTAGTCAGAGGGAGAGTCCAATGAACAATATTTAGAAATTTGATCAACTAAAAACAAATGAAAAGCAGAACTTAATATTGAAAATGATAGAATCATTCTGACCAGAAAGGAATTAATAGGACAAGAGGGATGATAGAGGTAGAAGAATGGAAAGTCTTTCAGATACTTCTTGAACTATGGCATACTTACATTTCCTGCTCTTGAAAGATAGCACCAGTGTGCCATCTCTCTCACTGATTCTTTGAATATATTCTTTGCTTCAAACCTTCTACAGGAAGAGATATCCAGTTATGAATTTCACAGATCTACAAAATTTCATATAGGTTATCTATATGATGTTGCCAGATTTTACATTGCCAGGTTGTATTATAAATATCTACCATCAATATTATGTAAGAAAAGAAAGGTTTTGTTTTGCTTCTTCAGTGCTGGGAATTGAACCTAGAGCCTCAAGTACACAAAACATGTGCTTTGCCTCTGAGCTATACCCCAGCCCCAAGGGAGACTGTAACAGCACAAGAGGGTAAAGGTAGAAGAGAAGGATAATACTTTATGGATTACAAATGGGACAAGGTTAGCCTTCCTCATTCCTTATTTCATGTAGCTCAGTGAAAATTTCATTGTAGACTAAAATGTGTGTAAGGACTGATACTTAAGTACCAGTTTAAGGAGTAACTTGATGCAGCAATTCTCACCTGTAGAACTTGAAACACACTACAAAATTCAGGTCCTACTCTGATACTCTGAGCAGTTAAGCACCATCTTAGGTAGTGAGATGTAGGAGTGTGTGTGTGTGTGTGTGTGTGTGTGTGTGTGTATTTGTAGCTCCACTATTGTTCTAATACCATGTTCTAATAAGAACCACTAGTCTCTAGCTGCAGTGGCACATGTCTGTAAAAACAGGAGGCTGAGGCAGGAGGATTGTAAGTTTGAAGAGAGCATGGGCAGCTTAGATCTCGTCTCAAAATAAAAAGGGCTGGAGATGAAGCTCAGTGGTAAAGCACTTGCTCAGCAGACGTGAGGCCTTGGGTTCAATCTCTGATTTAAAAACAAACAGACAAAAACAAACATAAAAAAAACCCCGTTGTTTATATTTCCCTGAAACTACTGTTGGTAAAGTTAGGAAATAACATTTCACTGGTTTTCATTCTTGTAACTCTAATGCACTGCCTTTAAATGTAATTACTTGTACATTATGGGTAAAAAATGGCTAATATGCCAATTTTACTAGGTAAGGAACTGAGTAATCCTTCAACAAAGAACACAAGTAAAAGCTGATTTTAAAAACAAAGAAATATATAGATTGTTTAAGAACTAGCTGTAGGATTTTGTCCAAGGAAGATTTTAGTAGATTGATACCACAACAGAAATTCTTCTTGTGTAAATCTTGACTAGCTGTAAGAGAATGCAGGTCTGTATGGGGAAGTGTAAGTAATTCAAAACACTTAGTCTTTTTAATATTCTCTTAATCCACAGAATGTTACATAAGAAAAACCCTATCAAATTGTCATTCCTGTCCTTTTTTGTTTTCATTTTAAATTCTCTAGTACTCTCGGTGGTGAAACCTAGTTATTAATTTCTCTTAGTTCCTAGCCTCAGTCATTTAATAAATATTCTGTTAGGAGATTTGAATGTTTAAAGGTGAATCAGAAAGAATTAGAAATTCTACTACTATTTAATCAACCTAAGACCTATTCATATCCAGGAAAAGAAAAGTTGGCTGTAGAACTGTGATATTAAGCAAGTTATAAATGATTACATTAAAGTACAAGAAAGATCTTAATGATCTTAGGTCTACTTGAAGATGAAAGAGATCACGTGGCTTTATGGGTAATCAAGTCCTTCAGCTGTGTGACAGTTGTTTCAGATTGCTGCTCAATTGGGTTTTTCATGACTACATCAAAGTGATTGGCTGGGTCATGTAGGAGGGAGGATACATGAACACAATCCAAAAAATTATGTAATATCTGAACTAGTGACAAAATTTGTTCCATTCTTTTTTAATCTTCTGAATGTAACTGGGGTAATAATTAAAATAATCATGTACTTTTTCTGCCCTCCATCTGTGAACCCACAAATCCATTCTACTAAGCAAAAATCAGTCTGGCTACTATAAGCTTTGACTTTTTGCCTACACTGATGGCCAAATTGATAGCTTGTCCTTTCTTCCTATGCAGTGTGCATAGACCACTTGAAAAAGAGAAAGGAAAGTGGGCAAGAATTAGATTGAATAAGGTATAGCCAACAAGTTTTTATTCTCTTGTACTACTGAACATTATAGCACTATTAAAATGTATTTATTTATTTATAAATACTTTTTGCTACCAGAATCCTTTATGTTTGAGGAAATAATTTTTCTATTTTTATTGTCAGACATCTCTGTTAATACAGTGCTATTTAACAGACGACTTTCTTGCCTTTTGGTGTGTTATACAAGTATTAAGAATAAAACTCTACTGATCTTTTTTTCTCTCCCATTGTCTAATGGATTCCCCTGATTTTGTTTAGCTAGTGGGTCATCTAGATGACTTACCTGGACATGAAATGCTCTGAGTTCCTGATCAGTGTATTTGTTCCTCTGTGTTTATGATGAAACCTGCTCCTGTCTTCACTTCTGTGCCAATCTTCTTGACTACCTAACAGATTCCTTCTTGTTTTCTGACTGTAAAGGGAACCTTTTGCTAGTTAAGCCCCTTTTGTGGATTAATATCCACACACACACACGCATATATTTTTTATATAATATAT